TCAGGCAGCCACCAACCAGCTAGACATAGAGAAATAGTGAAAGTAAGATATACAGAAGGAAGAAAGGTAATAAGCCCGAGATAAAAGGCAGATAAAGAGAAATGGGTTCATTTGAGTTGAAAGAGCTAGCCAGAAATATGCCTAAGCTAGGCCAAGCATTCATAACTAATAATAAGTCTCTGTGTCATGATTTGGGAGACAGTTGGTGACCTAAAAGAAAAAGTCTGGTACATTTTGGTGTTCTAACATGGGGTCTATATTTCAACATAAGGCCTGAGAAAGCTGGGGAAAAAAAAAAACATACAGCCTTTTCCCACTAAGTAGAAACAAAAAGCAAAGTGAAAACGCCTGATCACAGTGCAAGGCACCAACTACCTAGAGTTAGTGTGGTTGAATGCAGTTCTTGGTCACACCCCTCCAACAGGCCCTAGAGTTTTAGGCTCTGCTCTCACAGATCTGAGAAGGGGCGGACCCAGCCGCCAAAGCTGTGGAAAAGGACCCAAAGATGATAGCTTAGCAGTTTAAGATTTTGCCTTCTTGTCAGGGAAAGTTGGGGGTGGGTTGTGGGGGGGGGCTGGGGGGGGCGGGAGGAGGAAATAGGGGGATCGTTAATTGGCGTGTAAAATGAATGCAAAATTTTTCTTAATAAGAAAGGAAGGAGAACGAAAAAGAAAGAGAGAGAGAGAGAGAGAGAGAGAGAGAGAGAGAGAGAGAGAATTATAACAATAAAAAAGATTTTGCTCATGTAGACAGAAAAGGCTAGAAATACACAATAAAGCAGGTTCAGACAGAAGAAAACCTCTAAAAAGGTTACAGTGTATAGGCTTAAAAAAAGAAAAAGGATTAGATAGTCATGGAAAAAAGTTTAAAAATAATAAAGTCTTTAAAGAAAGAGTAAGGTAATATAAAAGAAAAAAGCCATACTAAGATGAAAAAATACACAGGGGTTCTAAATCCTGTATGGTGTTGGGTTGTCTTTGAATTTTTTGAATGCCAATAAACAAACAACAGCTGCTGGGAGACGGGATTGTGAAAGAGATTGCTGAATTAAACCAGCCTACATACTTTAGGGATGCCTTAACTTTAAAATGGAACTCAAAAAATGTATTTCTTTGGGTAAGAGGTTATGTTTATTTCCACAGGAAATGAGAAGCTGTAGATTTATTCAAGGTTAATAGTAATCAGGTTTGATTGGGGAAGACTCCCCCCTCAAAAAAAAAATCCTGGCTATAGATATAAGACAGGTGTATATTTTACCTGCTCAAACATAAAACAAAAAAAAAATCATCTTGGGCTGGCTTGTGTACAATGCACAGTCCACACTTAGGTTAATGCAGGTATGTATGTTACATTTGAAAGTTGTGTTTTCAGAACAAGGGGACCAGACATCAATGAAAACAAGTGGCCCAGGTGATCCAGCTTCTCTGAGTACCTCTGTTGCAGTTTCCTCAGAGTTCTGCATCCAGAGGCTGCTGGCTGAGATGGTCCAGCCTCATAGACTATTCCAGCCAGGACTGCAGATAAGCCTTGTGCTTTCCCATTGCACAGAGACTGGACAGCAAATGTTATAGCTGCTTTTCCCAGGACTTGACCATTATTTCAGTTTTCTCAGGTTCCCAAAAAAGAAGTCTTCATCTGCAGATAGCAGGAAGCAGTCTAGAGAACACAACATCCACATTCCCAAGAGGTGAGGTGGGTAGTTTTTGGTCATTTGCTGGGTTATGGATGTTTGTCATCATTTAGTGGGGATATAGGAACAGGATAAAAAGACAATTATTAACCCTAAATATTTTGCATTGGCAAGGATTTTGGTACACACACACACACACACACACACACACACACACAAAGTTATTTTGTTATACTATATATATGTTTCTGTTCTTGGTTAAACAGATATATTTAGATAGACAGTCTTCTAACACTTCAAAGACCTACAGAATATAGCATTTAAGCTGTTTAATAACCTGAGGCTTTTCATGACAGTGAGATATGTCTGCTCTTGGCAGCACTGATTTACTTCAGAGAAGATTATGGGCATTAAAGAAACGTCATATGGAGTTTGCTTTCGTTGTGGCAAGGTTAGACACTGGGCAAAGAAACTGCTCAACTGCTGACAGTATGCTGTATAAACTGCACAAACAGGACACAAAGGAAACAGACTGCTGAACTTTGCCAAAACAAGGTAAGACAGTCCTTCAAAATTCCTGCTTCATAGAAGAGTCTGCCAGATATTCTAGGTCTGTAGGCTGAAGACTGGATGCCCCAACATTGCAGAGGAACCTTGGATGACTGTCCAGGCAGCTAGATGTCTATCATTTCTATAGTTTTGGAAGTGGCTTGCACCGCACTTTCTGTTTACTCAGGTAATATTATATCCTTCTGGTGCCTTTGATGGAGTTGAAGACTAGATAGTTGTAGTTAATAGTTTTCCTTAGTTATGATAGAAGGTAAATTAGTTACAGAACTTTGGGTTAATCAATATAGAATAGGTAATAGTGTGATTTCTCTGAATTTGTCAAATGCAAAGGGACTGGATATTGTAAATGTAATCCTTACTTAATAATTGTTCTTGTTGTATATAGTTTTATAGGAGAAATGTGGAATATTTATTTAACCAGGCAAAGATGTAAATGTGTTACATTTGTTCATGCTGCATTTGTTACTATGTAAAGATGTGTTGTATTTGCTTTAATTAAATAAAATTAACTTGGACTGAGGGGTGGGTTTGCTGCTTCTTAGTTGACAGGAAGGGAGCGGATTCCAGGATGCCAGCAAAGAGAAAGTTAGCCAGTTGCTACTCTAACTCTCTGAGCTCAGAGGTTTTCACCCTAGCCTTTGAATCTCAAGTTTTATTAGAACTGTAGAAATTTAGTTAGAACTCCATTTAGTGGCAGCAACAGGACCGTTGTCTGGGGGAACAGGATCCCCCCCCAAAAAAATCCCCAGGATTTGGCCTTAGCAGTTGTTTAGTAGTTTAAAGCACAGCCACTGTAATGAAGGTAAAACAACAGAAAAATACTTCTGGAGGCTCAGGTAATTCCCAAGAAGGCATCCTGGTGATAGTGTACTCTCACTGAATCACCTATCATCCCACCACAGAGGAGGCTGAAACAGAAGGCTAGCCTGGCTACAGTGGCAGCTGCTGCCTTGAAAGAAGATAAGGAAAGCTAGAGAGAAAGAATAATGTCTGTACTGAACAATGAGTGACTGAATTTCCGTATCTTAAACCATGGGAACCAGAAAGAACTGCTAACCCAGAATGCCACATTAGTGAAACAGAAGGAAGAGTTAGCAGATAAGTGAGAATTAAGAGAAATCACCAAATGTACCAAATTGCTAAAGAAAGGACTTTAGTAATAAATAAAACATGATACCAGACAGAAACAGACTACCAGAAATGGAGGGAGAGCAAGAGAAATGTGTGGACTGATGTAATAGTTTATACTCTGTTTTAAGTTCTCTAAAACATGTTTAATAGTTAAAAAGTAAAAGATATATACAGCCCAATGGGCTTTTAACTGTATGAAGAGATAAAGAAGAAAACTATTGTGTAAAGAAATACATAGGAGGGGCCTGGAGAGATGGCTGTTAAGAGCACTTGCTGCTCTTAAGAAGACCTGGTTCGATTCTCAGCACCCATGCGGTGTTCCCAAAAGATCTGTTTTTCTCTCTGCTCACAATAGGCTCAACATGGTGTGCACACACATGCAGAGCAAATATTTCTATACATATAATTCTTTTAAAGAAACAAAACTTTTAAAAAAGAAATGATGGGGAGAAGTGAGATGACTCCATGTGTAAAAGTATTTGCTGTAAAAACCCGACCACCCAAGCTCAATCCCTGGAACCACATAAAAACAAAACCAAAAAAACCAGGAAGTGGTGGCGCACGCCTTTAATCCCAGCACTTGGGAGGCAGAGCCAGGTGAATCTCTGTGAGTTTGAGGCCAGTACACACACACACACACACACACACACACACACACACACACACACACACACACACACACCAAAACAAAACAACAACAACAAAAAACCCCTCAACACTCAAACCCAGATATCAACAGTCCTAAGATGAGTAGAGACCAGAGAATTGCCTAGAATATGGTAGGTCAGCTAGCCTGGAGTACACAGGATGGCAGAGTCAAGAGATACTAGGTCTCAAAGGCAAGCTGAAAAGAGAACCATTTCCCAAAAGTTGTGCTCTGACAGACCTCCCCTTGTGTGTCATGGCAGGCATGTGACTACACACACACATACACACACGGGGGGGGGGGGGGAAGAGATGAGGGAAAATGGCACAAGTGGGGGAAAGTTTATAGACAATCTTATTGCAATAGTAAAATACTGATTGTCCATAACCTATGAAAAGCTATGTTTCACAAATCCTAGAACCACCACAAAAGCCATTTAACATACACATATACAAAGGTGAAACAGAAACAACTCAGGGAGCAGAAACAAATTACAAACCTGATATTAAGCAGAAAGAGACAGTGCATGTAAGCACTTGGTATGCCATGTTTGGTTGATATCCATGGGAGGCCTGCTCTTCTCTGAATAAAAATGGAGTGGATGGGGTATGGGGCAGAGGGGAGGTGGGGGAAGAGACTGGGGTGTGGTGGTATTGTGTTCCTCAAAATATTGTGCACCCTAATAAACTTATCTGGGGTCAGAGACAGAACAGCCACTAGATACAAAGGCTAGAAAATGGTGGCACTCACACCTTTAATCCTAGCATTCCTGAGGTAGAAATCCCTCTGGATCTCTGTGAGTTCAAGGCCACATTGGAAACAGCCAGGCATGGTGACACACGCCTTTAACCCCAGGGAGTGATGTATAAAGCAGAAAGATATATAAGATGTAAGGATCAGGAACTAGAAGCATTTGGCTGGTTAAGCATTTGGCTGGTAAAGCATTCAGGCTTTCGAGCAGCAATTCAGCTGAGACCCATTCTGGATGAGGACTCAGAGGCCTCCAGTCTGAGGAAACAAGACCAGCTGAGGATCCAGCAAGGTGAGGTAGCTGTGGCTTGTTCTGCATCTGATCTTCCAGCTTTCACCCCAATACTTGGCTCCAGGTTTGATTTTATTAATAAGACTCTTTAAGATTCCTACTACACTGGGAGAAGAAGAGGGAGGGAAAACTAGGGTTGGGATGTAAAATAATAATAATAAATCATTGAGAGAGAGTGCAAGTGTGCACACACATGAATGTGGGAGGGAAAGATAGGATCGGGAGAGGAGAGGAATTGAGGGAAAGGATAGGGGGTGAGTTGGATCTAAACATGTTATATGCATATATGAATATTAAATATTAAATAAAAAATGTAACCCTAGATCCCAACATATTTATTATGTTAAAAGTAGTAAGTATTCCAGGCCAGTTGGCACATGACTTTAATCACAGAACTCAGGAGGTATGAAGAGGAGCTCTGTGAGTTTGAGGCCAACCTGATCTACATAGTGAGTTCCAGAATAGCCAGGGCTATGTAGAGAAATCCTGTTTCAAAAACAAACAAATTAATTAAAAGTAAGTAGTCTAAATATACCAACTAAAAGGAATTGTCAGGTTGAAAACAAACATTACCTAATTATATGATATAGCAACTTTATTTCAAGTATAATGATGCAGGAGGTAAAAGGATAGAAATAGATATATCACACACATCTTTTAAAAAAAAAATCAATAGAAGTATGGAGTAGTTTAACTGAAACCAGACAAATTCCAGAGCAAAGAAAACTATTGAAGATAAAGAAAGATAATACAGATCAATAGGAGGCTCAATTTGCCAGTCTGACACAATGAGCCATATATGTTGTGCACCCAACAGAAGAGCTCCAAAGTAGATGCATCAGACACACTAACAGATGAAGATAAAGAGACCTCAACCTATCCTCAGAAATAAACAGAACAAACAGACAGAGAAACCAGTTAATCAATACCAACAGCCAACTGGATCAAATAGATATCATAGAGCATCCCACTACACACAGTATGTAACCCCATGATGGGGTGATTTCATAGCATGTGAGAGGGCTTGGATTTAACCCCCAGAAAACATATGCATGCACACAAGACATTGCCATGGCCATAAAATCATTGAAATAATGTATAGTATGTTCTTCATAATCAAATAATGAATAAAAAAAGACTGCCATAAAAAGGAAAAGTTTCCAATTGCTTGGAAATAAAATAACACATTCCTAAATAAAGATAAAAGTTGAAATCTTAATATATTATAGAAATCATTACAAATGAAAATTAATACACTATATCAACATTTTTGAACTGCAGCTACTGTAGTGTTGGGAAGAAAGTAACAGGATTAAATGCTTATTAGAAAAGAAAGTCTACATTCAGTATGCTAAACTTCTCCTCCAAAAAAAATTTTTATGAAAACACTCAAACTAAGAAATTTTAAGAAAATTGAAATAATTGATAGGTCAAAAACATTTTTAGGGTTGGAGATTTAGCTCAGTGGTAGAGTGCTTACCTAGCAAGCACAAGGCCCTGGGTTTGATCCTCAGCTCAAAAAAGAAAAAAAAGAAAAAAGAAAAAGAAAAAAACATTTTTAATTACAAAAATTTAGTAACTGAATGAAAATTAAAGCATATGCTTTTGAAATTTGTGAAATGCATTTTCCTTAAAAGGAAATATGCAGCACTGGGTGCTCTCGGCGTCAACCTCAGTCCTCCATCCACTCCGACACATGACACAGTGAGGAACACAGCAAACCCCACTGGGGCAGAGAGACGGGAGCAAGACCAGAAACTAACAGGACCATAAGAAAGAGCAAACGAAATCAGGAAAAACTAAAAAGTGGAGATTAACAAATAACAGGGATTCAAAGGAGACACCCTGCCTCCTGTGACAGGAGCTGGGTCACAGCGGGGCAGTGAAGAGGCCTCCTGTTCATTCCCCCATGCTGCAAACCCAATGTCAGAAATGACTTCACCAGCACAGGGTGCACACCTGCAGCCAGCCTCTCAGTGGCTAAAGCAGGACTGCTCAAGAAGAAGAGGTCAAGGTGAGCCTGCACAAGACAGTGAGAATCCCATCTCACAATAATAGTCAATACATCACTGTGTATGGAAAATTTTAGTGTCAAGCCAATCATCCCTCTGTATCAAACCTGTGGGAATAGAAAACAAGTTAAATGTGACCACAGCGACACAACTTGCAAAATCTAGAAGGTGGAAACTTCCTAGGACAAACTCCTTTGCTTCTCCAATAGTGCACTGAGAAAGACTGCAGACTTTACTACAAGAAACCTCATCAACATTTCAACTAGAGAGACTTGCCATCCTATTACAGTGTTTGCAGCTTACACACACACTGATTAAGACAATGTCATTGGGGCCATGGAGATGGTTCAAAAGTGCTTGCTGCACAAGCATGAGGACCCAGCACTGATGTAAATGCAAACTGGGTGTGGAGCATGCCTGTAATTCCAGTACTCACCTCAGAAGAGTCATGTTTTTAACCATCTTCAAGAAAGACTATCAAAGTCAATTGCACTTGCCTGGAAATGTCAGGTTCTATTTAGGACTACTACACGCATTTACATTTTCACACAGAGCGGGAGCCTCAAAACAAAATAGTAAACTTCATGGTGTGTCCTAAGAACTGAGAATTTTAATTTGGCTTAAGAAGAGAAACATTTTCAACAAACTGAAAATTGCATTAGATATACTAAGCACCAATTATGAGCAAGCACATAGCTCTGAGCACTGTATGGTGCTGATGCTGCAACAGATAAGGATGCCGACACTATGAGATTACCTATCCATTGATGCAGAGTTACAGCAATCCTATCCAGATCTCTGGCTTGACCTCAAGATTGCCTCCTCCCATGTTACAGTCTATATTTTTGAATCTTCATATATGTGTGTATACATATATATTGTATGTATGCATACATACAATATATATGTTCAGTTTTCTTAATCCTATTATTGATCGATACCTAATGCATCCTTTAAAACAATGAAGAACTGCTTTGAGAGTACTCAAACACAAAAGCACGTGTACATACCTTGCCTGAACTGTAAAGGTGCTACAAGAACTTCTCGGTTTGGCTCAAAAGGAAGTTCAAGTGTTAGGTTTTCAAACTGCTCTTTACTAATGAGACTTAGCTTCCTAAAGTTCTCAACTTCTTGCTGAAGTAGAATGGAGGAATCTAATTACTGACCTGGCTAAAAGATTAACCAACAGACAACAAATGATACCAACCTCAAAACAACTGAGCTTTAGAACAGGATTTATGGACTCTACTGTAACAAAGATGTTCTAATCTAGCATTATATTTAACAATAATATTCAAAGCTCAAGAGGCATAGAGATCCCTAAAATATAAATATTTTATACTAAAAGCTTTGTAAGAGCATATACGCTAGTCATCAGTTATTTGTTGGGCATTTATAAACAAGAATGCTGGGCATTATTGAATTTACATAGTAATCTAAATATGACCTGCCCTTTAAGAGATTTTTTAAGTTCAAAAGAAATGTACACACTAAAAACAAATGATTACCAGGTGAAATATGAACAGCGACATTTGGTATAAGATTTAAGATACTAGAAAGGTAAGGATGAGATTTTACAAGATGGGGAATAGTATTCTAAATAATGATTGTAAGCAGACACAAGGAACTTAGAAAAGTCACATTTATTAGAAAAATAATTAAGTGAATGAGAAAATATGTGTACAACCTGGGCAATTAAAGGCTTGTTGAGGAGCCTGGAGAAAGCTACTAGAAGTTTTCGCTTCGTTCTCTAATTGATGGGGTATGTGGGATGAGTGATATATCTAGATGTGCTTTAGATTCATCTCTAAACACCTCTCAGAAGCTCAGCGACAGGAGGGAGGAATGGACCACTCCCCTGCCTCTGCTCCACAGGCTCCTCCTGCTACATTATCACTTACATGTCCACTGCATGGACCTCCAAACATGCAGAGCATTAATGGAGGCAGATTCCATTCACATCTAGAAGGTAGGCAAAGATCTGGAGTGACTGACAATCTACTTCTGGAAGATTAACCAAACAACATCTATCCAAAGAGTGCTTAAGTGTTTGTCAGATGGAAGCAAATTAAAAGCATTATTACAGTACAGTTGTAGAAGTTTACTTTGAATATCTAGCCATAGAATGTCATACCTTCAGTCATTAGTTACTACCAACTAGCATCATCCACCAAATCCTGTCAATATTTTAGATGATCTTATTTATGTTTAGAAGGGAAATGTGTTGGAGCTATGAAATGAGGGGAGATGAGGATGACTCATATGATATTTCATGGTATAGAAAAGGAATTTCCAAAGAATTAAAATATGTATTTAAAGGGAATCTTAAGAAATTATGCCAGCTCCTAACTTTAGCCCAAAATTTCTTCTTCCAAAGCCTTTAAAAGGAGCTGGGAGAGTTCACTTGGTGAAAGTACTTGTTTAACATGTGTGAGATTCCAGGGTTCAATCCCTCGCACTGGCGAAAAATTGGAGAGGAGGGTCTCTAGTTGTAGCCTGTGGTAGAGTGCTTGCCTAGTACACACAATGCTCTATAATTGATCCCAATACCAGAAAGAAAAAGAGAAAAAAAATTGCTCTTCAAGTCCTAATTCAAGTCAATAAACAATGATTCTATGCTTATAACATGGCAGACATAAAAACAAAACCAACCTGGATGGATATAGACAGTGTATATTCTGTTCTAATTTTAAAACAATTGATATAAAAGATAATTGGAAGGCCAGGCGGTGGTGGCGCACGCCTTTAATCCCAGCACTTGGGAGGCAGAGGCAGGCGGATTTCTGTGAGTTCGAGACCAGCCTGGTCTACCAAGTGAGTTCCAGGAAAGGCGCAAAGCTACACAAAGAAACCCTGTCTCGAAAAACCAAAAAAAAAAAAAAAAGATAATTGGTTAAAAACTAAGTAAGTGCAGGAATCAAAAGTGTCAATCTTGAAATGAGGTCTAGCCAGTCGGGGTTCTCAAGGCCTCAAGGCCGGCAGGAAGACAGCTATGGGCCCACCAGGCATGTGGGCCTTATTATGATAAGGAAATATGTGGTGGAGATATGGGGGAGATAGAGAAGCAGAATGGTTCATGTGCTGTGGAAAAACACAGAAAGGGAGAAATGAAGACAGTGAGGAGTGGGCTGATGTTGGAGGCCTGCTTGCTACCTAGGGCCATGGTGAAGGCAGTGAGGAGTAGACTGAGGGGGTAGGTCTGCTTGCCACCCAGAGCCATGGTGATGTCCTGGCCAGGCTGCTGCCAAGGGCCATGTCTGGGTCCTGGTCCTACAGTAGCCAGGGTGTGCTGATGTCCATGGTTCCTGCTGCTGTCGAGTGCCATGCTGATTCCAGTGGGCTGGGCCACCTCCTGAGGCTGTGTTTGGGTCCACAAGCCACACTGCCACTGGAGCCATGCCAATCTGGGTGGCCTTTGCTGCCACTTGGGGCCATGATGACAGCCAGGCCTAGGCTGTTGCCCAGAACCATGTCTGGGTTCATGGCCCATAGCAGCCAGGGTTCAGATAGATGTATGTGGCTCCTGTTGCCACCAAGCACCATGAGGATACCCAGGTTCAGATCAGCCATCTGAGTCCAGGTTGGTGACCGAGGGCTAGGATGCATCCAAATCTTAGTGGCCTGTGCTGCTACTGAATGTCATGGTGAAGTCTGGGCCAGGGTTGCAGCTGAGGGTCACATCAGGGTTCATGGCCCTACTGCAGCCAGCCAAGGTCTGTGTTGATGTCTGATGATCCTGTTACCATAAAAGGCTGTGCAGACACCCAGTAGGGCCATGTTGGTGTCTCAGGGCCATACTGCCACTGCGGCAGGGGTGACATCCAGACCTAGCTGCTGCTGAGGACCATGTCAGCCCCTACTGCGGCTGGGGTCTGTGCTGAATTCTGGGTCCTACATTGCCACCAAAGGTCACATAGAGGCCCAGAATTGGGGACACAACCTGAGGCCTTGGTGGTGTCCATATGGCTGCCAGAACCATTCCCACCTGAATGACCATTCCTTCCACCCAGAGCCAGGATGTCATCCCAGCAAAGCTGCTGCTGAGGGCCATGTTTGAGTCTGTGGTCCAGCTGCAGTTGTGTTGATGTCTGTGGTCTGTGACACCCCAGGAGGCCCTAGGCACCATTTGAGAAGAGATCAGAGGGCCATGAGAAGAAATCAGAAAGGCCCTGCCTTTCCCTGGCCCTGGGAAAGCTGGCCTTGCCTCACTATAGCAAGAGAGCTGGCCCCTGTACTCAGAAGAGATGGCTCTCACCCCTCACCACAGGTGAGGGTACACTGACCCTGAGGGCAATCAGTAGGGGAGCTGACTCTGTCCCCTTGCTCGAGGCGGGTAGCCCCAGTGGCCCTGACTGACTAGCTTGGCTACCACCCAGGCCCACAGCTGGGCTTTGGGTTGACCCACTGCAGCATCTACCCCATCTAGGACCTGCTGGAGAGAGTGAAGGGATTGGTCCTGTGGAACAATACTTACAGGATCTCCAAGACTCAGGGTGGCCTCAGGCTATCCCAGAGGAGTTCTGGTGAGGCTCCAGTGAGGATGGTGTACCAGAAACCAGAGGCCTTGAACCAGACCAGTGACTCATTGCAATGAACACATACCAGTAAAGCTGATGGGACAAAGGGGTCTATTATATGGCACACCAAACCCTCCAATGCCACCAGGACAAATGAAAAGGTTATGGAGAGGCAGGAAAGAAGGAGAAGCAAAGAGGTTTTTCTGTTGTTGTTGTTTTGGGTTTGGTTTGGTTTGCCAGAGGCCATAAGAATATACAGCAGATGACAACTAATATTCAACAGTTGGATACATCTGATGAATAATTCTCTGATGGGAAGGCCTGTAGGAGACCAGCTCCCACATTTATTTACCCCAGAGATGCTTGAGGAATGAGGGATAAGAGACTTAGATAGAAATAAAGAGGGGAGAGAAACAGAGAGAAATTCAGGGTGCCTGGATCCTTACCCACCAGCCCAGAGCTTTATTCCAAAGGGGTATTTATAACTATGCCAAGAGGAGGGGCAAAGGACCTCCCCCTTGCTAGTTACAGCCAAGTGTAGAACCTTTCAAACACCTGGTACTCAGGCCTGTGGTCCAATAATCCTCTTATGCAGTCCTGCTGGGTACAGCCATGAGGAGACCTAGTGTGATCCAACAGGTCCCTCTTCTTTATATTTTAAAAGAAAAAACTCCCCATGAAGAGCTCACAGCCATCTCCCATAGCTGTCACACCTCCCAGTATAGGACTAGAGGATGATAAGGATAGTGTTCCTTTTTTGGAATGGGTCTAAGGTGACAGCAGTCTTAGCTGCATCAAGCCCTTTCTAAACCAAAAAAACTCTTCATGCAACTGCATCAAACTTAAAGACTCCCTTAGCTTCATCATTAACATTAACAGGTTCATATAATTCAATTTCTTCACTCAAGAAAATATTTTTTAATTAAATAGACTGAGAACTATTAACTCTCCATTTTCTTTATAATTTTTTAAACTAAATATTGAACCCAGTTAGAAAAAACCCACACTTTTCTATTTAAACAGTTTCATTTTTAAGCAGTTTTATTTTTTTACATAAACAGTTCCATAAACCATCAGTGTTGATAGAGTCTATATACATAAGTAAATTTAAACTGTCCCATTGTAATGAAATCATTACTGCCCATTTCATTTCTTAAGTTCAAAAGTTCAAAAACAGTTCTGGTAGCATTCCTAAAAGTTCCTCTGAGTGCTCGAAACCAAGGCCTGGCTTGTTAGCTGCCTTTAAATCTTTGTATAGCTGTCAGAGACATGACTGAAGCAAACAGCTCCCAATATGAGGAGTCCCATAACTGAAAGTTTTTCAGTTCAAACAAGTCTCCCTGAAACTTTCACTTTCAGCTACCGCTGTGCTTTGCAGTCTGTAGCCTTCCATAACCAGGCCATTCCTGAACCAGGCTAGAGAGTTTTTAATCATGCCACAGCCTCATGGGCTCAAGGCTCCTTTAGCTGCTACAAGCTGAACCGTGGTCCTCCCACAGCAAACCCGGCTCTGGGAGAGTCCCATTACCTGCTTTGCTGACGGTCCAATGCTCAGGACCCTTCCATAGCATTCAGCAGTTTCTGCAGTCCCAGTCTGGCTGTTCAGCCTGGAGCATG